GTAAAATTTTTTTTTTTTTTTTTTTTTTAGTGGCCCTAATCCTCTTCAGTAGTTTTTGAAAACTCGACACTTAGGAATCAATTTTTAAATTGTGCAATTTCAGAGGAAGTGTGCGCTGATGAGTACATTAGCAGTAGAAACAAAACAAAACTTTTCTGTTATCTTATGAACCAAACCTGAAATATTTTGAAGCCTAAAAGGAGATGTATTACGACTCTTTTGTGATGATAAAATTAATAGAAATAAACGTTTTTTAAGAAATGAGAGAATACAACTCCTGGTTCACAGCTAAAAAAGCATTAAATGTCTTTTCAATGTCATCATTAGCTCAAAATTTTAAATTCATAAAAAAATATTTTATTTGTTTTAACAAATAAAATAAAATTCAAACAAATAGTTTTATTTGACTTTTTTGATCTATATTAGGAACATTTGCCCAAACATATCCAAACTTTTACCACTTTAGAACTATACAGGGGTTGGTATCAGCGAGGTGTTTTGATCGTAGCCTAGAATTTCAAAATAAAAAAAAATTAAAAGTTTTAAAACTATAAGGTTAGGAAATACTGGAAAATTTATGAAAGCTGCATTTCAGGCAAGAATAAACACCGGACAAGCACGTAAATCTGGAATGCAAGGACCAGTCAAACCAGGAGAGAAGTATTTGGATTACACTGATTAAACACAGAAGTATCAAATATATTTTAAAACAACAACTATTTAGATAGTCCATTTTGCTTTGCCCTCTTTCCAGCAAACTTAGAGGAAAAAAGTAATGACTGACTTTTAAGTATTTGCTTCTTCCTTTGTATTTAGAGATTTCTAATGTCAATACTGCCCCCACAAGGATCGATTTGGTATTATAGTGTATTTTAATTGAATTTCCGAAGTTCCCCCTCTAAAAAAATGTTTCCTTCACTGATAAAATAGCTGCCGACATGTCAGTCAATCCGTACCAAGTTACAGGAGGTGACATCAATCCCTTTATCTCCAGGCTGCAGTTTCACTTTACTATATTGTCTAAATGAAGTTTCTCCCGCCAGACTTTTCTTCTCATTTTCATTCCATCGACTGGTTCTTAAAGGATTATCCAACACTGGCATGGATAATCTGCTTTCCTGGGGATTCCCTGTCAAGTTTGTGTCATGCTTAATTTCTTTATTTAAACATTCAGGTAACCATAGCAACGTACGTGCTTCCTACTGGGTGCAGAGCCAATCAAAGAGTCAAAAAGCTATCTGCTGCTTAAAATAGGCACCAACATCTTTGAAGAGTCTGAATTCAATAGTTTAACTGACTGACATCTAGAGTTCTTCTTTCTTTCTACCCTCTTTGTTGACATCGGGAAAACAGTTTATTGTAAAATGTTAATCATTTAGACACAAAGCCATGATGCAAGTCTCTCAGAGGAAGGCTGCAGATATTTGGAGAGAACTTTGTTCCATTATTGTTGCAAGCAAAAAACACATTTTATGATTTGAAATGTGAAAAATATCCACATAAGCTTTGAAAAACATTTATATCAGAAAAGGTAGAGTGTAACTTTTAACTAATGTGTTTTTATTTCACAGAATGACTTGTCTATTTTCAATATATATAAATATACTTCACAGTTTTTACAAATTTTACATTATTTTTCTGTAGACCAATAGAAATGTATCAAAAAAAGAAAGAAGAAATTGAAGAAATAGGGCAGATTAAACTATAAAAACTTTTTTCTTTTAATCTTAAAAAACAAAAGTTACTCTCAAACACTTTTTCATAAAATGTTTTTTAAACTTCTATTTCTTGCATGTTTTTAAATGGCCATTTACAAAACATGTTCTTTGGTTGTCAGAGTTAAAATTAGTTTTTTTCCCTGACTGCATTTTGCAGCTTCTATTGCAAAGAGTTTAGCATTTAGGTTAAAACAATGACTTTCTGGTATTTCTGACCCCAACAACTCCTCCAAATGATTGCTGTGAACCCTGCAAAGCTAAAAGCTACAGGTCCACTAAAATTTAAACATGTTTTTTCTGCAATGAACACTAAAGTCTTTGTGGATCTGATGTGACAAAAAGCATAAAAGCTTAAGGCGTATACATATTTTTACAAAGCCTCCAACTGCCAACCACTGCAGATAAAAAAAAAACAACAACATAAAAACCTTGATTTATCCTATTAAAATGTACAAAATTCTTACAGGCATTTATTTCCCTTCTGATCAACGTTAAAATCAATTTCCGCAGCAGAAACTGGAGGGATTCTTGGAGGCACAGATTAGAAAGCACTGTGAGCTACATAGAAATGACAAGAGTGGATAAAACCCTCCAAAGCAGGGCATTAAGGTGCCGTTAATAAGCCCTGGGTCACCAGTGACCTGATAAAGCTGATGAGCATGAAGAGGAAATCCCTCTGGGCGTTAAAACTGAGCTATTTGATGAAAGGCTGGAAAAAAAAAAAGAACTGGTGACCTAAATATGTTTCTTACAGGTTCAACTCGGAAACCTCAGCGGTTTGTTAATGGTCCTAAACTGGATAGAGCATCACTTTGCACCCAGTTCAATGGTGCAAAGGAAAGAAAAACAGTCTAATTGGAATCTGCCTTTTTTTTAACATCGAATTTTAAACAGTGAATTTTTTTAACACTGAATTTTAACCATTGAATTTTTTCAGACATTGAATTCCTTACACTCAACTTTGTCTGGTAAAAATTCACCAGAAAAAAAAAAAATCAGCTGCAAAAATTCAGCCGCAAACCTGTTGACCTTTTGGTGAACTCAAGCCAAAGCAATCTACACTCGATAGAGTCGAGAAGCTTCTAGCCAATGAAATCAGCTCATTTGGTCACATGACACAACGGCTGCGCTCAGCATTGTTCCCGGCTGAATGAGGATTTTTTTTTTGTTACACAGAATTACAAAACGTCAGTTAGCTACTAACAGACAGCTATTAGAATGCAGTGTTTAAAATTTGGTGTTAAAAAAATGCAGCGTTTAAAGTTCGGTGTTAAAAAAATTCAGTGTTTAAAATTCAGTGTTAAAAAAATGCAGTGTTTAAAATTTGGTGTTAAAAAAATGCAGCGTTTAAAGTTCGGTGTTAAAAAAAATTCAGTGTTTAAAATTCAGTGTTAAAAAAATGCAGTGTTTAAAATTCGGTGTTAAAAAAATTCAGTGTTTAAAATTCGGTGTTAAAAAAAT